GAGGGTGACTATTGAAGAACAGAAGAAGAAGTTCTGAGAAGTAAAAGAAAACTGGAAAAAACGTAAGAAGCGGCGTGCAGAAGAAAAAGAAGGGGATAGCAAATAATATCTAGAGTTTCTAGTTTAAAATATGATAATATTATATTACAGTATATATATATATATATATATATATATATATATATATATATATATATATATATATATATATATATATATATATATATATATGTCGCGGGAAAGATATATACCCACACCCCTCTCTATATATTTCTCGGTATATATATACGCCGAAATTTCGGAGCTGGTCCGGGCGGGTACCGCAGACCGGGTAAAAAATTGCCATCCCTACAGAAGATTACATATGACAAAGGATTTCTCGGGTTTTCAAGAATAGATATCAATCTCTATCTAGTCTTCTATCTCTCTCATTTTCTCAATCTCTCTCAACTACTGATTTCCTCTCTTTGATTTCAGAGTGTTTACAATGTTAGTTTTCAACGATATTACAATTTCTTGTTGCTGACTTTTTGTGAAGTTTGAGGTTGTTTGATTTATCGTATATCTTGTTTTTGAGACTATACCCACATGCCCTTTGAGTTTTTGGCTTTAAAGATCGGATTTTTGTTGAACAAAGCAATTGCTCTCCAACTGTTTGTTATCTGTGTTTATATACTTTCTGTTTAAGATCTAATTTTTAATTTACATTCTTTTGGGGCTAAGAATTGTTTGTTTCTTTTGAGGTGATTGTCTGCCATTTCTGAGCTTTTGGGTTTTACATTCTTGGAAATGAGATAATATTTGATTTTTCGACGAAAACAAGTCGAATTTATTTAATAAATTTCAGCTCTGAAAATTCAGAGAATGGAAAATGGGAAAATGTGTGAATATCAATAATGGATCCTCTGTTTCCTAGACGTACTGCATATCAATGATGCAGATAAAGGTGGACAAGGGCACCTTCGAGGAATATAATGGCTATATGTGAACAGTACAATGCACCTTTGAAGAGTACGAGGTTTAATTCCAATTCAAAGACAACGCTGTCTATTTGGCCAAGCAATGGTTGTGGTAGCTTCGTTTCATCAAACAAAGTAAGTATGGAAAACTTACTACTACTATGATATATTGATATTGGCTCTTTAGGAGGACTTTTTTCGTCTTTTATCTATCGAATGTTCTCCTCGAATTATGTTCATGTGAATATCGATTTGGACCGTGTATGAATTTTAAGTTTGATCTGGAGTTTGAATTCTGAAATGACAAGGGATAGTTCGTGAATTCCGTGTTTTCTTATGTGGTTTTCTTCATGAACGGATAATCGTTCACCATATTTATAGTCATATTATCACTTTATCTGCACATCAATATCGCATAATAGATAGCGTAGCGTACCCGATCATATTATAGGTTCGTCATTTACTAAATTTCCTTGGAGTATTACAAAACTGCATAAGAGCATAGACAGATTTGGCAGTGCTAGCTATATCAGTCATATCTCTCTCGTTTGAGTTCTTATTTCCAATAGTTGTGAATAATAGACACAACCGTTAGACAATTGAACAAATGAAAAGGTGTGGCACCCCTCGTCACATTGAAAAACTTTTTCAATTTTCATGGACAAAAAATAATTTTATTTTAATAAAATTTCCAATAGTAATTCTCCTATATGTAGTATTCCACCTCCCTAATTGATGGTGTGATTGATTCAATATATACTATGAGTCTACGACTGTGAGTGACTCTGTAGAATATTTCGAATTCCATTTACATTTTAAAAGGTAAGTATATTTTAAAGGTTTCTGGGGCACTCATAGAAATCTTTAAAATTTAGTTTCATATCTACAGGTGATTGGTCTACTTAGAAATTTGTCTTCTAAACTTTCTTATTCCAAAATCTTTTTGGTCACACACTATAAAACATTGAATTTCGAAGATATCAATGTTAATTATTTGAATTAGCTCAACGTACGACAAACTTATAAACTTACTAATGTAGAATCCTTGTAATTTTTCCTTGTGATGCTTATTGAGTATAATAAAAAATCATGTAGCAGGACCATCTGAAGGTAACCATCAGATGAAATAGTTCACTAGTAACTGAATATAAAGAAACATAATGCATGTAGACATCTTTAATGGCAGAAGCCTCGAAAATATTCCTTATAAATTTATGAATGAATCAGTACTTGCAAGATATGTACGCCTCATCTACTTTGGGGATGTGGTATCATACAATATTATGTTTACTTCTAGGGATTTTCAGATTATCTTATTAGGCAGGATAAGCTACTTCAAACGCGTTTAATGATCTGCGTGCTTGATTTACAGTGTAGCTGAAATTAGAGAGTACTAGAAGTATAGAAGTGTATGTTTGTTTATGAAAGTAAAAAAATGCTAGGAAATCTAAAAAACCTTAAGGGTATTTGTAAATGTTTGTTTATTTAATGAGGGACGATTATAGTTGTCGTCACTAAATTTGTCGCTCAAATTAGAAACAAATTTATCATCCCTTGCTCCGATCCGTCGCTACACAATTTTCCTAGCAACAAATATCTAGTCGTCGCAGCATTTGTTGCTAAATATTTATTTTAGAAATAGACTGAATATTCGTCGCTAGGGTTCGTTGCTACTTAACTACACTTGCAACGATTATATTGTTTGTCGTTATATTCGTTGTTGTAACATTATTTTCGAAACAAACTTATCTGTTGTGCAGACATTCATCGCTAAAGTCGGATTAACACCATCAACGAGACGATTTTAGCTTCCATCACTAGTGTTATTGCTCAATCATTACTGTACCAACGAATACGTTATACGTACGTTGCTAATGTCCGTCGCTAATAGGCGATTTCCTAGTAGTGATCATTCAGAGGATGGCATAATTCATATATTTAGGGTTTTTTTTTTTTTTTTTACCAAATTGCCCTACCAACCCGTTGCCCAACCGAACTCTATCGATTCTCTATCCAAATATTTCTACCGAATTATTAACGTACCCTACCGAAATATTTTGGTAGGGCAACGACACTCAATATTATTAAAATGGTATTACCCGACCGTACCGAAATATTATTAATAAATAAAATTTTATTTTAATAATTCATTTATCATATATAAAAAGAGAACATAGTACCCTAACTAACTGCCATTAGTTAAAATTAATTATACTCTTTAGGTATGTCAAAAATATTTTAAATTGCTTTCATTAATGATGATATAATTAATGTTAAAAGTTTTTATCTTAAAATTTACTTATATTTTAGGGCAAATGGCAAAAAGGCCCATCACATGGGACTTAAATACATTTTAGTCCACAAAAAAAACAGTCTCTCAATTAAGCCCATCCCCATGTCTTTAGTCTAAAATACCCTCAATAATATAATTCTTATCAATTCCACCCATTATGCTCTAACTTCCATAATATTACACATTGACCCCGGATTTAAACAAATATATCACATTAACCCCCAAAACTTTTTTTTTTCAGAAAATAATTTTTTTACTGAAATGTTTTTTTCCGGCCAGATTCCGGCGTTGACTTTTTTTTTTTGAAATTTTTTTTTTTTTGAATTGTTTTTCTTAGAAAAAAAATATTTTAATTAATATTACTGTCTTGGCTACTAAATTACTGTCTCAGACAGTAATATTACTGTTTGGGACAGTAATATTATGAATATTATTTTTCCGAACAGTAATATTATTAATATTATTGTCTAAGACAGTTAAATTACTGTTGGAGACAGTAATTTAACATCCAAGGTAGTAATATTAATTAAAATAATTTTTTTTAAGGAAAAAAAAAAAGTCAATTAACACTTAAATTACTGTCTCCGACAGTTAAATAACTGCCGAAGACAGTAATTTAGCAATGAATACAGTAATATTAATTAAAAATATTTTTTTAAGAATAAAAAAATCAATTAACAGTTAAATTACTGTCTCCGACAGTTAAATAACTGCTGGAGACAGTAATTTAGCAACGAATACAGTAATATTAATTAAAATATTTTTGAAGGAAAAAAGAAAAAGAGTCAATTAACAGTTAAATTACTGTCTCCGACAGTTAAATAGCTGCCGGAGACAGTAATTTAGCAGCCAAAACAGTAAAATTAATTAAAATATTTTTTTTAAGAAAAAACAAAATTATAAAAAAAAAAAAAAAAAAAAAGTCAACGCCGGAGACCCGGCGGTCAACGGCAGTTGACCGGCCGGAAAAAAAATTCAAAAAAAAAAAAAAAAAAGTCAACACCGGTCAACGGCGGCGACCGGCGGTCTCCGGTGATGGCGGGTCAAAATTGGGGCCAAATTTGAAATTAGGTTAAAATTGGTTAATTGATGAAATTGGGCTAAATTGAGGTGTAAATGAAGTTGGAGTTAAATTGGGTTATAATGAATTGAGGGTAATTTTGGTATATATAAAAGGATTTTCCTTATTTGCAAATAAGTTTGAATGGGGTGGATTTATTTGAAAGACAAAAAAGTTGAATGTCCCTCTTTTAATTAAGTGCCCTTGTCATGGGCCTATTTGCCATTACCCCTATATTTTATAAACTAGTTTTGTACATTTTAAACATGTATAACCTTGAATTGCTTTGAAAAACTAATATTCAGTTTAAACTTAAATAGTAGATGGCATAAATTGATTATTACAATTACCATACCCTGCCGTATCGATTACCGAACGAATTTCGGTATACCAAAGTTTTTGATAGGGCAATAATTTTATAATACTGAAATTTCGGTAATGGTAATGATTCGAGGGGTTTGGTACGATTGTTCTACCAAACTCACCCCTACATATATCTCATGATCAACAGCGCCAACACTATACTCTTTTTCGTTTGTCCAAGATTTTGTCACATAAAATTTTTCTTGACAAGATTTTAACAAGGCAGTGTTACGCTCTCAATATTCAAATGGATATGTACAATTTTTCTCATTCGTTTAGGTTTTGTCCCATTCGATTTAAAGCTCAATTTGACTTTGGACTAGGCCCAATTATAGACAGCCCAAAAAAGCCTTTTCCAACTTAATATCTGGAAAATAACTTATTTAATAATTATTAATAAATTAATTTCCCATCTTCACCGGAAACAAACACACTCTCTCACTGTTTCACGAAATTGTGATGGATTTTGAATCAGCCACCGCCGAAGAAGACGGAGATGTATCGCCGGAGCCGCTGGAATTACCCACAGGCCCAATAGAGTGGGACAAAATCCACCACTCTCCGCCCGGCGCCGCCGTTTCGCCGCCTCCAAGACCCCCCTGGCCAATGGTATCCATCAGAAAACACCAAATCAGTAGCAGCAACAAAAATCCCCCAATCATCTTCCCTCCCGTCGACCACGAAAATCTTCAAATTAACTCAAACCCACGTTCGGATAATGCATCAATTGCGTCGCGGATGCATATTCGAGAAAATTCAGATTCAGCTTCCGATTCGGATTTGGAATCGGTCACCAACTCAGATTCGTCGGCTTCATTTTCTCCGTCGGAATCCAGCCCAGTGGCGCAATCTCCGCTTCTCTCAATCCCGAAAACGACGCCGGTAGCCAACCCGGCGAGGTGGTTTAGCTTGTGGGCGGAGATGCTCTGTTTCAAAGTCAATGCCATTTCGCGCTACCTCTGGGCCTCGTCGCGCGGGGTGTTCCCGAGTTTCCGCTCCGCCGCGCTGACGGCGGTGCTGCTGTGTTTTTTGTATTTCCGGCGGCGAAGGAGATTGAGAGTAGGAGAAGAGAGCAGTGCTCGTCTTATTGGCATCATCAAAGAGAGAGATGAGGTTGGTTTTTGTGGTCCTCTAAGTGTTTGTGAAAATGCCTGTGAGAATGAAAACACTGTCGAATATTGATAACTGAAATTGATAATCTTTTGATAATCTTTTGTTTGCATTTCCGTTGTGCAGAAAATCAAGCAATTGTTGGATCAAATATCCGGGATGAATCAAGTGTTGCTCACTCTTCATAGAGTATCCACTACGTAATAATCGAGTAGTTAGTAGTTGCTGCATCATTCTTATACCGTTATACGTTAGAAGGTGAGTCCGTTTACGATGACGGCTCCATATGAACGATTGTTACTGTGATTATTTAATGATTTAGATTTCATTAAAGCAATCCCCGAAAATCGAGTCTTTTAGCTCTCTACTATAAGTTTCTTCATTCAATGTTATACTATGTTACATACTTGAACGAGTGTTCATTGTACAAAGTGTTCGTTCTTTCCTCTATATATGAATGCCAAATATTCAAGAACGAAGCCTGCAACTTAATTACCGCATTGTGAACCGTTTTTTCGCTCGAATCTTTGGTAATAACAGCGTTTAGTAGGATTTGTTAGAGCGTCTAGGCAAGTAAGAACATTAAAGATCAGTACCGCAATGTTCGGGATTTCGTATAACATCAAACACAAAGACAATCAGAATAACCGATTCATATTTTTACTGCACATATTCTTTAAATTGTTCGTTCGTCATCCAGATTTTCAGACGCCGGCTCTGATAGGTTGTATGATGTGGTTTTTATCTGGCATATGAGTGATTGTGTGGCTGCCCTTTTCTGGGATGGTTCATTTCTTATCCTTAGCCATTTATTAGTCCTTTCAATTTTAGCAGTTCATGATTTGTATAAAAAAATTAATTACAAAAAAAAAAAAAAAAAAAAAGATAAGAACTGAATTAATGAAATAAATTGGGCCACTAAAAATAGCATGTGAAAAGAAATTATGAAAATTCACAAAGCAAATAACCAAATCAAGAAAATTCAAAACTACATTTCACTTGTGTGGAACTTGAATAAAACTTTTGCATTACCTACAAAGTATTTATTTCTCCCCACGTATAGTATACTCGTTAGCTCCTAGATCCGTCGCTATGATGCGCCGAATGTCGAATATCAAACCGGTCCACATTCACCAGCGGAGCAACGGTCTCGTTACGAATTCTCTTAATATTCGGGCTCACCAATCCCCTATGCCTAAACCCGTACAAATTCAAAACTTGATTATCCGCGAAATTAAACGCCCTCTCCATACTCTTCAAACACCTCTCCACCGGATAATCCCCGTAACTCCCACACGGCTTGCACCCCACAAAATGCGTCACAAACGGCCACCTCTCGTCGCCCAACCCCGGATGGTACTTCTCAATCATCTCCTCGTACCTATCCACCAAACCCTCCCAAAACCCGTGTAGATAATACGAGTTCTCCACGAAAACTTTCTCCATCCATCGATCCTTCTGCGATATCAACAAGTAAATCAACGCGGATTGGTCGTCGGCCTCGAACGCCGGCCGGCCCTTGAGGTAGGCCGTCAGGACTTTCCCGGCCTCATCTCGGACCGGACCCTTGGGCCCCATCGGGGCCCACGCATCGAAGAGGTCCAACGACCACTGGCAGTTTCTGAACAGGAAACTGCCAGTGTTCAGGGCGATCCACGACTTCTGATCGAAAAGCAGATCAGGATAGCCGTGGATCACCATGTTGTGATCCTCGTATTTTTTTACGGGGATCTCGAATACCATATCGGTGAACAATGCGTCGCTGTCCATCCACCAAATCCACTCCACTTCGGGATGCGACAACATTAATCGTCGAAGTAAAGGAAGCTTTGACCAATACCCGGCCATCTCCTTGTCCAAATGAGCCATGTTGTAAACAATCTCAATCCCATGGATTCGACAATAATCGATTTTATTCTTTATACCTTTCAACAAGTAATGATCTCCGATTGCGTTATCGCACGGTCCGGGCGGCGAACCGGTGACGAGCAAGATACGAGGTTTACCGTTGACGTGCTGCGGGAACTGAGGGTTCTGCTGAAGCCACACCTTTCTGTCTTGATCCCAGGTTGTGATTTTGGGTCCTAGAGCGAATGTCATGTTCGGGTTGAAGAACTGCTCGGGTTGGTCGTCATCCGGGTCGGTCGGGTCCTTGTCGGACCGGATCTCGGCCAGGATCCGATTCGTTTCTTCGGCCATGTGCTGGTTTTCGGCATCGGCTTCGGAGGAGGAGAGGCTGCCGAGGCCGATGGTGCCTCGGAGCACGAGGATGGTGACGAAGCCGCACAGGACGGTGATCTTGATGTTGTTGAGGGTTTTGCTGAGCTGCTTGCCCCGGGAGGCGGCGCGGCCGCGGGCGACGCCGGCGGCGGCGGAGGTGGTGGTTGGGAGGGCGGTGGAGGTTCGCTTCTGAGGCGAGAACGTGCTTTCCGTACCCATCATCAGCTGAATAATGAGTCGAAGGAAGGTGGAATGGGTTCGGTGTTGAGAGTTGTCTCTGTAAAAATGGAAGTACGTACACTCATCGACGTATACAAATATACAGATATATGATGTGTTTCTCTCTCTAGACAGAGGAGAAAGTAGAGAGAGAAGAGGAGGAGGAGGAGAAGAAGAAGAAGAAGCAGCACGCCGGCACCGACTGAGATGCAGTTTTCTTGAGATGGGTTTGAATAGTTTAATACAAAGAGGTTTTGGTGGATTCAATAAAACATTGAATAATATTTGATGAAGGGGACAATCCCGCTGTTTACGGGCTGGATTCAGCGCCTCTCTGTACTTTCTAGGTGCTTTCATAGATTTTCACCTTTTTTTTTTTCCTTCGAAATTACATTTTGCCCCTTGAACTATATTTTTTGTTGTCATTTGGCCCCATACTTCTTAATTCCCATTATTTTAAAATTTTGCCCCATCTCTTCCATGAATGAAACATTAACACCATTCATTTTTGGGGTAAGTATAGTTAACTCCCCTGGACTACAGGCTCCGAACCAAAATTTTCCTTCAATAACAAACTGGGACAGATTGTACCACCCTTTCATAACTCAGTCAATCCCTAACTTTGTTGTCACGTTGATAATTAATATCTTATTAATTACAAATAAGAAATTAGAAGGCAAAATGAGTTTTTTAGCTGTAAGTTTAGGAGTTGAGAGATTCAGTCAACCATGTTTTAAATTCAGAATTTTAATCCTTTAAGTTACAAACTTAGAGAATTTTAGTCATTTGACCTGCTTTAATAGGTAATTCAATAGTTCCTTAAATGACTTGGCATTTAATTTATAAAAATAAATAAATTAAATATAAAGTAAATGATGTGGATGATGAGTTGGATAATTTTGGAGGCAAATTTAATTCTAAATATCAAAATGAGGGGAAAATTAACATTTTCATTTATTATCTATTTTCGTTAAATAGTTCACTTTTATTTTGACCACTTAGTACATATTTGTACAAATTAAATATTTTGATAAATATTAAAATAATTACTATTTTTCTCAATTAACTATGAAATAATAATTAACAAATCTGTTACTAAACAAATGCTTATTTCCTTTATACAATAAAAATAAAAATGTTGGTATATTTTATTTTATGGAACGTTAATTTTCACGAGATTTTTTTATTGCAAACTATAACAAAAATAGATATGTAAATGAAAATGTTAATTCCCCCCCCCACCCGACATTTAGAATTAAATTTGCCTCCAAAATTATCCAACTCATCATCCACATCATCTACTTTATATTTAATATATTTATTTTTATAAAATAAATGAGGAGTCATTAAAGCAACTATTGAATTACCTGCTATTGCAGGTCATATGATTAAAATTCTCATAGTTTGTAAGTTAAAGGACTAAAATTCTGAATTTAAAACATGATGGACTAAATCTCTCAATTCCTAAATTTACAGGACTAAAAAACTCATTTTGCCAAATTAGACTGTAAGACAGTATCATGCATAATTTTCTGGCTAAAACAATAACGAAATAATGTTATTGAATAATTATTTGAATTAACAAAAAGTTGTATGCTTTAATGTAACATAGGTTAGGGATAACCACAGCCATAGGATTCTAAATTAGAATAAAAATATTTCCAATAATTTTAGACTTCTACTAGTTTATAGCCGGCATGAGAAAAATAATATATTCAAGAGTCCATACATACGATTAATTATTTAATTATAAGCGTGGTCCATAATCACCCATTCATCTGAGTGAGAGAGAGAGAGAGAGAGCATTTGATCAATCAAACGTGCGTGGTGCCCCATTAGTAGGGAGGTTGCCGGCTCGTAATTTAGTTATAATTGTATAAATAGGTGAGATTGAGTTTGTTCAATGTATTGATTACTTCTCAATTTTCACATACATGTGCTTCATTATGTATTGATCTACATTGTAAAATTACTAGCTAGGGTGATTTTGTTTTGGCCAAAGACCCTACCAAGTGATTGTCCTATCGTGCTATGTCGAACGGTAATGGTTCTCTACCGCACCAAGCCGATTTTATTTGGTAAGGTAATGGTACATAAAATTATTAACATACGTACAAATATACTATTAATTAAATAAAACAAATATTTTACCCAAAAAAAAATAGATTTTATTTATTTTTAAATTTTAGTACTATTTTTATTTAGGGGTAATATGCGTGACACCCCTCAAATCAAACCTAATTAGATGTGAATGACATCCTCAAATAGAATAATTTAACTAAATCCTTAATTTTAAACCAATTTTGACATACACCCTTTTATTTTATTTTAACCCCAAAATACCCTTAAACCTAATTAAATATCACGTGATTCTCTTCTTCTCTTATTTTTCTCTCTCTCCCTTTCTCTCTTCGGTTGCGCCGCCCAACTTCTCTCCTTCTCTCTCTTTCTCTTCTTTTTATTCTATATTATTTGTGTGCCACCCAATATCTCCCCTTCACTCCCTTTTTTTTCTTTTGGTGTAGTAGATCTGAAATTTTGATGAATTGAGGCGGAGGACAACAGATCTGTACCCAATGGCGGCGGCGACGGCGGCGGCTATTCCGAAAGAGCTTTGCGTGGCGGCTTTGCAGTACCCGACTCGCCTAGGGCCGGTGGGAAGGGGAGATTGCATCACCCTTTGTGCACGTGGTGGTTGGGGGCAGCAGGGAAGGGTTGGCGATGTGTTTCAACGACGTTGGTTTGCTTGTTGCACGTTTTCGGGGGCGACAAGGGCTGGGTGAATCTATGGTAGGTGTGTGTTTTACAAGGCGAGGACGGCTTAACGGTGGTTGGTCTTCATTTGCTGGCGGCTCTCGGTTTCAAAAGAGTGATATTATGATTTTCAGAATGACTACAGTAGTTTACGAGTCTGACGCCGTTGTGAATCGAAGGGTCGGCGTGAAGGTTCAAGAGTGCGGATCTAGGGTTTCAGAGTGACTATAGTTGCCTATGGATTACTACAAGTGACTATGGATTACTACGGATATATATATATTCAGAGTTGTCTATGGATTACTACACGTAACTATGGGTTACTATAGTTGTCTATGTGTTCCTGCTGCAGAGACAATGGGTAGTATACTGTGAAATTGGATATATGATTTGGATGACTATAAATGACTACGTGGAATTATGAATGACTATATTGTGATTCATATTCTGCATTTATCGATAAAAAAAAATAATAGTTAAAAATGTATAAAGCAAATTAAAAAGATATGAAATATTAATTTTAAATATCAGACAAAGAAAAAATACGAAAAAGAAAAAAAAAACTGAGAAACACGTTCTACGTAAAAAACATTATAACAAAAATTTTAGATGCAGAAATGAAAATGTTAAATTCAGAATAAAAACCGATAAAAGCAGTTTAAATATTACTTGGAGCAAATTTCATTTTTTATATATGAAGGGCATTTTTGGAATTAAATTTGTAAAGGATGTAAAGCAAAGGTTTAGTTGGACTTGTCATTTAGTTCTAATAATGTTTGCCACTAGGGACCTATATCTTAAGGCCCCTTTTATTTATTAAGAAGACTTTATATGTTTTATTTGAACACTTAGCTGTGAGCGGTTGCAGAGTCAAAATTTAATATAAAAATTAACTAAAATTTAAGTGGTTTAATTTGGGTAAAAAATATCACAAATTAATAAATATTTGATTACTTTAATTAAATCATATAATGTTCAAAATGTAAGTGTTGAGCTCTTTAGAGTATATATCAAATGAGTTGGATGAGCGAATTAAGTTAAAGTAAATATTAAAATAATGCTAAAAAATGAGTTTGGACTGAAGTTACAGTAAGAAATAATCTTTTGAGTGACAACTTTAATTTTCAAATGATTATGCAATAAATGTTGTCACTGTGATTGTAAGTTGTAACTAATATGAATGGAGCCACTTCTATTAGTGTGCGGTTTTTTGGAATTTAACACCCAATTTCCTCCATAAATTCTCCGATCCAAATGGCAGAAAAGTTTCTATATTTATACATTTATTGTTGGAGGGGCGACCGTCCGTTAAACTACCAAAAAAAACAAGGGTAAACCAATGTGATCATGACATTGTAGGTGCTTGTGATGGGAGGGATGCGACTTCCCTCAGTTGGTTTGGCAAGTGATGCACAACGCTGCCTACGCGCTAATTAGCTTCCCTTCTGTCGTGCGACCCGACGGCTTATGTGCGACCTGTGGCCACACCTCCTATTTGTTCAGGGCGAACAACGTGAACTCTGATTCAATTCGGGTATTCAATTATAAGCCGGGGTTTTAAATGGCATATTCACAAAAATGAAGTTATTCTTGTTCTTTTGCCCAAAGAAGTCATGCACTTCCGATAGGTCGATTCAACACCTTTATGAAGCGAAGCGTGGTTCGATCTACGCCCAACTCCATGATTTCATGCATGACTTTTCTACGCCCAACCCCAACTGAGAACAACTAAGGTGCAGTGTGTTGGAAAGCCAACTCCTTTTCAAATCCTTTCTTTCTCGGACACACCTGCGCGGATTACTGGTGACAGTTACATGTATGGTGGGGAAAAGTAGCATAATGGCTATTCTCGGCTAAACAAGGGCTTTATTTGCCGAACTGTGGACAATGGCTTTAGGGGGTGAATACTCGGAAAAATTACACAGATATCGTTTAACAAACTACCCGATTACCAGTTCACTTCTCCTACCTATCCCCAATCACACATGAATGTTCACTTGCCACCTACCAATGATGCCTTTCACTTTCAGACAGTTCCCGAGCATGAAATTGACTTCTAAAGTCAAAATAATGAGAGACGTCTCAGACACAGTTGTCACTTTCTATTTACAAAGGTTAATCCAATCACTGTAGGCATGAAAGGACTTGAGAAATCGCAGTAGATCCCAGTGACCTGAAAAGAAGAAATTAAAGAGATCACATAAAAACTTCTCTCCACAAAACTGTGAAAATTCCGGTGCTCTCAATGAAAAAAGTTACGTAACAACAAAACGAGTTATTACTTAATAGTGACTACATAAAAATGTTCGCTTAATATATGTATTTAGTGACAATTTTTTTGATAAGCCACGTCGTAGCATGCGAACCATCCGACCTAACCGGCGCTACTTGGACTAGTTAGGATCGTGGCTCATGGGTCTCTATAATAGCTTCCTTATTAATAGCTTCTTTATTATTATAATTCCTAGTTATTATATTTTTATAGTATTTTAGTTAAGTTAGTCTTCTTTAATTATTAGGATTAGAATTATTCCTTGATTAGTTTACGTAGCTTTAGGATTGTCTTTCTTTTCTTT